GCAGGATGGGGCCTTCTTGGTGGTGGCTGCTCCCAGACTCTGGAGCTCCCTCCCTAAAGAAGCCAGACTGGTTCCCTCCTTGCTGTCCTTCCACCAGCAGGTGAAGACTTTCCAAACAAGCCTTTGGAAACTGACTGATTCTAATGAAAGGGCTCGTTTTCGGTTTGGTTTTGGTTTTTTTAGTTATTGTCTGTGTTTTTAATGGATTTTTAAAAATACTGTTTTAATTCTATTAGTGTTTAATAGCATTTAATGACGGTTGTCTCAATGTTTCTGGCTTGTTCTGTTTTATCTGTGTAAGCCACAGAACTGGGAAACTGGCAGGATATAAATATGAAACCAAAGTTAGGTAAGGTTTCATAAAAGTATGACCCAAACTGAATTTATCTGCTATCCCTATTGGCCATGTGCTCTTCAAAACATGGGGAGAGGAGGGGTGTTGTCAACAGAGCAAAGCATTATTCGACAGGAGATTGTTGGAACTGGCTGAGAGTCAAAGGGAACCAAGCGCTTCAGGCATTCCTCTGCCTCAGGCTCTGTTCCTCAATGCAGCTCCTGCAGCTACCATGCAAAGGCTTCAACAGGTGCCTTCGGTGCCAACTTTTAAACGCCTGCTGAAGATTTTTCTATTTTGTCTGGCCTGCGCAGGCAATTATGAATGCGTCTTTCCATAACTGATGCCTGGTTTTAACCTTTTAAATATGGTTTTACTGTATGGTTTTATGCATTTTAAATGAAAAAGAGCTTCAAAATAAACAAACGGATGAAATGAAAGCTGAGCATTTTGGTGTAGATTGTTGCAGCAAATAAGAGGGTGTTTCGGGTGGTTCTGGCGGCTGCATGGACAATAACTGGAAATGGCCCGGCGTGTTCTGCCGAGAGAGAAAAGCGAGGGAGGAGTGTGTGGTGAGAGGAGGGGGTGGGGATGCCTGCGTGGATTTCAGCCCATGTAGCGAAGAGAAAATAATAATTTGAGAGCAAAAGGAATGATGGCGTTTGTGAAAGGAAAGGCAGCAACTCAAAACAAGATGTTGTGGGTGGGTGAGAATTCTCTTGGCTTTATGTGTGTAGAAAGTGCATGTTGTGTGGTTGCACTTACGTACCAGAAAGATGAGTTTTCAATGGCTTTTCAACGGTTTGTTAATCCTTTTCTTTGTTGGTTTGTTGTCCGTTCCACTGTCAAACAGTCTTCCTGATTCCTGAAGATCCTCCTGATTTTTAGTCAGAATCTCCTTTCCTATCACTTGAATCCAATTAAATTTCAGAAAGCTGAAAGGCTGTTTAGTGGAAGCACCTGGAGAAAAATAAAGATATCCACTTGGTGGCAGGCAGCTGCAGTGAAGTGAGCAAGGAGGAGGGGCCAGTTTGTGCTGGTTTGATTCCACTACCCCCCCCCCCCTTCCCTCTCTTGGCGCAGCTCCACGCTTTCACAATTTGCTTGGCTGATTTTGACTCGTTTTTGTTTTACTACATTTATATCCTGCCCTTATTCCAAGGAGGTTCAGGCAGCAAACATGGTTCCCCCCACACACACTTCATTTTTTCCTCACAACAACCCTGTGAGGCAGGCTGGCTGAGAACAGCTGACACAACGTTACCTAAAAGAGTTTCATGGCTGAGGGAACCTACATCTTCCTGGACCTACTCCCACTACACCATACTGCCTGGCCAAGCCTAAGGTTGCCAAGAGGTAAAAATACATTTTCGTTTAACATTTACATTCCAGCAGCGGGAGAACTGCGAAGCAGGGCTCCCTCCATCGGCTCTACTGTGGCAGGCCAACCCCACCAGGCTTCCTCTCACCTCAAATGGCACGGGGGAAAGCCATTCCCTCAGGCTGCCTGGGGGCTTATCCACACTTCCCCTTGTCTCTCTTTTTTCTCAGGGAAAACCCACTTTTTAGCTCTAAATCGGAGCAAACCTCAGTCTCTGGAAAACCCAATTGCTGTTTGCTCCAACTGAGTGCTAACGAGTGGTTTTCCCTGGGGGAAAGCAGCAGAACAAGAGGAACTGTGGATGAGACCTCAGCGGGAGAGGTGGGAAGCAGGAAGCTACCTCCATCACCTTTGCCAAAGGCCCTGCTCTACCAGGCACCTCCTCTTGCTGGTCATTCTAAGAACAACTGTTTAGAAATCTACCTGGGTTTTTGTTTTTCCTCTTCCCTCTCTGTGTCTTTGCCCTTGTGTGTCATTTTTAAAAAATATGGTAAGCTTCTGGGAACATATTTGTCTTGTTTTGATTGTTTGTGAACCACTCTGGGAGCTTTTTTGGCTGAAGAACCGGGTACAAACTCAACAAACAAACAAACAAGCAATGCTTCTTTCATGTAGACGTTTTGCCATTTTTGAAAGGGTGGGCGACACCCTCCCAAATTTTGACCCCAGAAAATGTCCAGATATTGTTGATACCACCCATAATTTAAAAAATAAATAAATCTCTGACTGCTGTCAAAAGAAGGAAACAAATAGGAAACGCATGACTGTGTGACACTACCAGGATCCACAAAGGTGGCTATTACACCCAATCCCAGCACAGGAGCCACAATGAATCAGCGATACAAAGAGCATATTAACAGTTCCTTTGCCTTCTGTACTGTTTGTAAATACTTCAGAGGACAGTCACTGATCCAAAAGGAAGGGCCCTTCAGTCACAAAGTAGCCTGTCAGGAAACCCTGGCCACCAACTCAGTTTGCGTGCTATGCTTTGCCTGGATCAGTCACTGCAAAACTGTTCCTGCCTCCCCTTTTAGGAAAAACTGACTTCTTCCAAGCGGACATCAAATCTGGTAGCATCCCCAGGGAGAGTCAATTTAGCACAAAAGGTGAATGGCAGGCATACTATTTTCAGCTCTTTCCGTTCCACATAACTCTGCTTCGAGAGAGGAAGGTAAACCACATTTTCTGGGGACTGGACCATAGGCTGGGCTTTCTAAGTGGGGTCATCTTTGTCCGGTTATCCACATCTTGGTCTCAGGTCCAGACATTGGCCATTTGTTTGCTCAACTCACAGGACTAGTGGCTGGCCAAACAGCAGAGGGAATTTCAGAGGTGAAAGGATAGAAGTTTACAAAATTATGCATGGCATGGAGAAAGTCAACAGAGGAAAATTTGCCTCCCTCTCTCATAACATTAGAATTTGTGGGCCTCCATTAAGGTTTAAAGTTGGCAGATTCAGGACAGATACAAACAAACAAACAAACAAAAAACACCTTTCATGCAGCATGGAGTTACTCTAGTTGTGGTTGTTGTTTTTATTTATCCACCCTTCACCCTAAGGTTTCAGGGTAGGTTACAACATTAAAACACAATATTAAGAACAGTTTTATAACAACTCCCTACCACAAAAGTAAGGTGGATCCTAAGAATATACACCTCAAGTATCAATAGGCAGACTGAAAAGGCGAGTTAAGACTGTGGAACTTGGTTCCACAGGAGACAGTGATGGCCACCAAATTACCGGTAGATGGTTATTTTTTAATAAAAGATTCCATGCCAGGGGTCATTGGAAAAGGAACTGCAAATCGAACTACTAATATCATAATGCTATTATACAAATCAATGCTGTGAAGGCATTTGAAAACTGTGTATGGTCCTAGTTGCCTTGCGTCAAAAAGGCTGTCGTAGAGATGGAAGAGGTTTAGAAAAGAGCTACCAAAATTATCAAGGAGTGGAGCTCTTGCCCTGTGATGAAAAGTTGCAGCCTTTGGGACTTTTTAGTTTAGAGAAAAGGCAAGTAAGAGGCAACATTATGGAAGTTTTTACAATTATGCAGGGCATGGAGAAAGTGGATAGAGAAATGGTGCTGCCCCCCCCCCCCCATTTCATAACACTGGAACTTTTGGACATCCAATGAAGCTGAATGTTGGGAGATTCAGAACAGATAAAATAATAGTCCGTCCTCAGAAGGGCACTTCACTGAGTTCCCCAGATGGGGAACGAAGCATAAAGAAGCTAAATCAAAACCAATCAAAAAGACGGTGGAATCTTTCATTTATAAAGTCTCGCTGTTGTCAGAATGTCAGGGCAGCCACATCTCTATTACTTAAGTGAAAAATAGAAAAGAAAAGAAGCTAAGAGAGCGGGAGATGGGGCTGGTACGCACCGCTTGCAGGGAGGGAAATGTTCATTTGAAGAAAACAGTCTTACATGGGAGCGGGGAGGCCCCCACCCCCCTGCCGCTCCCTATTGCTTTGGAAACCATGTTCCGTACATTGAAGGGTGCCTTGCGGTGATGGCTTAAATAGGAGACTGAAATCAATAAGATATAAGTGTCTTAAGGATGGAAGGTCACCGCGGCCTGGCTTTGCTGCCTAGAGGCCATACAATGGCAGCAGAAGATGTTTAGCAGCAAACCATGAAATATTTCATCACATTGCAAAGTTCTCATTTGAAAACAAGAGAATGGCTATGACTCAGGGATGTACGCAGAATTGAGCCTGGATCCCAAGAACTCTTATATTATTTGCTCTATTACCTTCCAAGGGCATCTTACCCTGCCTTGCTCCTTCTATACATGTAGAAAATATAGCATTTAAGAAGCATTGTTGTATTAATCATAGCAAGAGCCAAACAAATTCTTTAAAGAATATTGGCCTCCGTCTATTGAATTTGATTTGCGTCAACAGCGAAGAATCGTCCTTCCAGATGTTCCTCGTCTGTTAAGGACTAGTATAATACTTAAACACTTCTGACCTTTAATGTAAAAATCTACAAATTAGATTTGGAATTTAATGTTCCAGGTTGCTGTGTCTCCATATCATTGTGTCCTCTGGTTTGTTTATTAGTTTGGTGCATCAACAAGTAGTTCTGATACTAAGTTCACAGTAAAGTTTTGTTTTGTTTTGTTTTGTTTTGTTTTGTTTTGTTTTGTTTTTTAAATTATATTTATTAAAGTTTCAAAGAAAAGATTACATAAATAAAAAGAGAAGAAAAAAAAGAAAGAAATAAAAAAGAAAAAAAATACAGAAAAAAGATAAAAAACACTTTAAAAACACATCAATCCTTCCATGCCTTACATTTCATTTCCTTGCTTCCCTGACCTCCTCACACCTCCCTTTTTTGTATTCCAGTTCTATTAGTTAATTCAGCAATTCCTTTCCCTCTTTGTTTTTGTCTTAATCCTTTAACTTAATATAACTTTGGATTTTCACCTGTTAACAATCCATTTTTACATACACCTTTATAACATTGCTGCTAAAACCACTTAACTTCATTCTGACATCATTCTAACATTCATTAATTTTGCAGTATTTCTGTAAATAGTCTTTAAATTTCTTCCAATCTTCTTCCACCGACTCTTCTCCCTGGTCTCGGATTCTGCCAGTCATTTCCGCCAGTTCCATATAGTCCATCACCTTCATCTGCCATTCTTCCAGAGTGGGTAAATCTTGTGTCTTCCAATACTTTGCAATAAGTATTCTTGCTGCTGTTGTGGCATACATAAAGAAAGTTCTGTCCTTCTTTAGCACCAATTGGCCGACCATGCCCAGGAGAAAGGCCTCTGGTTTCTTCAGAAAGGTATATTTAAATACCCTTTTCATTTCATTATAAATCATCTCCCAGAAAGCCTTAATCCTTGGGCACGTCCACCAAAGGTGAAAGAATGTACCTTCGGTTTATTTACATTTCCAACATTTATTATTGGGCAAATGATAGATTTTTGCAAGCTTGACTGGTGTCATGTACCACCTGTATATCATTTTCATAATATTCTCTCTTAAGGCATTACATGCCGTAAACTTCATACCTGTGGTCCATAACTGTTCCCAGTCAGCCATCATTATGTTATGTCCAACATCTTGTGCCCATTTAATCATAACAGATTTCACCGTTTCATCCTGAGTATTCCATTTCAACAGCAAGTTATACATCTTTGACAAAATCTTAGTTTTGGGTTCTAACAGTTCTGTTTCTAATTTTGATTTTTCCACCTGGAAGCCAATTTTCTTGTCCAAATTGTATGCTTCCATTATCTGATAATAATGAAGCCAGTCTCGCACTTTGTTTTTTAGTTTCTCAAAACTCTGCCATTTCAATTTATCTCCCTCTTGTTCCAGAATTTCCCAATATTTCGGCCATTTGGCCTCCATATTGAGCTTTTTCTGAGCTTTCGCTTCCATCGGTGACAGCCACCTTGGGGTTTTATTTTCCAGTAGGTCCTTATATCTTATCCAGACATTAAACAATGCTTTCCTGACAATATGATTTTTAAATGCTTTATGTGCTTTGACCTTATCATACCACAAATATGCATGCCATCCAAATACATTATTAAAACCTTCTAAATCCAAAATGTCTGTGTTTTCAAGAAGCAGCCATTCTTTCAGCCAGCAAAAAGCTGCTGGTTCATAATAATGTTTAAGGTCTGGCAGGGCAAATCTACCTCTTTCCTTTACATCCGTTAGTATTTTAAATTTTATTCTAGGCTTCTTGCCCTGCCAGACAAATCTAGAGATATCTCTCTGCCACTTCTCAGTAAAGTTTTGTTTTGTATGTTGTGTTTGTTATTATGTATTTCTTATTTGAGAAATTTCAATATAAATTTATTAAAAAGCAATAATATTGTTGAGAGTGTGATTTCTTAATGTTAATATATGATATAGAAGTGATTATGGAAATGCGATAGATATGTTAATGTCATAGGGATGTCAGAAAGAGGGAGGAAGTCAGTGCTCCTTTTGAGCAAATAATATAAGTTGTGAATATGTGTACAGTGGTGCCTCGCAAGACGAAATTAATGCGTTCCGCGAGTTTCTTCGTCTAGCGAATTTTTCGTCTTGCGAAGCACAGTTTCCCATAGGAATGCATTGAAATTCAATTAATGCGTTCCTATGGTCAAAAAAAGTCCAATCAAAGCCAAATTTGGTACAACAATAGTTTATTAACTGCTCTTTAAAGTCACACATACTTTAAGAGCATATCAAAATTGAAGGAACAATAAATTAAGTTTCTAAACATGACAGAAAAACATTTAAAAATCAACAAAGTGTACTGTACATACATTTTCTAAGACTCTGGGGGACCACTCGAAGAAGGTTCCTCTTCTACTCTTTGCTTCTTGCTGAGGAACCTGTCCATGGTCTGCTGCTTCATCCGCCTTTTCAGCAGCTCCCTGAGAGGCAACATGACCGTCGTATCAAAAGTGTTCGCTTGGTCATGTGCCACGTGCTTGTTAGGGTGGTGCTGCTCTGCAAAGCCTGCACCTCCTTCCACTTCTGGCAAATGTCCCTCAGTTCTTTGGAGGACGGCCGTTCCTCAGTTGCTTCCTCCTCTTCCAGCGAGGCCTGCTCCTGCGCAACCTCTGCCTGCAGTTCAACCAGCTCCTGGGTGGTCAGCTCGTGGTCGTGCTCCTCCACCAGCTCACAGACGTCCTCCTCTGTGACCTCCAGGCCCATGGTCCTCCCCAAGGCAACAATGTCCTGCACCACTGTTGACTCTGGTGCATCAGAGTCACTTGGTGCCACACAGTCCGGCCACAGGCTGCGCCAAGCGCAATTCAAATTTCTCTGGCTGATCCCGTTCCAGGCCGTGGTGATCATCTTCAAGCAGGTGACGATGTCGAAGTGGTCCTTCCAGAATTCACGCAGGGTGATGGTGGTGCAATCAGTCACCTCGAAGCATCGCCTGAAAAGCTCCTTGGTGTAGAGTTTTTTGAAATTGGCGATGACCTGCTGATCCATCGGCTGGAGCAGTGGCATGGTGTTAGGCGGCAGGAACATGATGTTGATGAAGCTGAACTCCTCCAACAAGTCCACCTCAAGGCCTTTAGGATGAGCAGGAGCATTGTCCATCAGAAGCAAAGCCTTCAGCGGCAGGTCGTTGTCCAGCAGGTACTGTTTGACAGCAGGGCCAAAAGCAAGATTGACCCAGTCCACAAACAGCACACGTGTGACCCAAGCCTTGCTGTTGGATCGCCACATGACACTCAGCCGCTCCTTGTCGACCTTGTGTTTCTTGAAGGCCCGTGGGTTCTCCGAGTGGTACACCAGCAGGGGCTTGATCTTCAGGTCGCCGCTTGCGTTGGCACAGAAGAGCAGGGTCAGGCGGTCCTTCATGGGCTTGTGGCCAGGCAACTTGGCCTCCTCCTGTGTGAGGAAAGTCCTTTTGGGCATCCTCTTCCAAAACAGCCCGGTCTCATCGCAGTTGAAGACCTGCTGTGGAACGTAGCCCTCTGTCTTCACAGCCTCCAGGAACTCCAAGGCAAAGTCTTCAGCCGCAGGAACATCAGAACTGGCAGCCTCTCCATGCCTGACCACGCTGTGGATTCCAGATCTTGCCTTGAACCGGTCAAACCAACCTCTGCTTGCCTTGAAGACTTCTGGCTCGCCTGAGGTTCCTGGCTGTTCCCGGATGAGGTCTGCGTGCAAGGCCTTGGCCTTCTCACAAATGACGGCCTCAGTCACTGTGTCCCCTGCACGCTGCTTCTCTTCTAACCAGATGAGCAGCAACTTCTCGACCTCCTCCAGAACAGCTGGGCGGTTCTTCAGGATCCTGGTGACTCCCTTGGCTGCATCAGTCGCAAGGATCTTCTCCCTCATCTTCAGGATGGTCCCGATGGTCGATGGGTTCCTGCCATACTCCCTGGCGAGGTCCGTCACACGCATTCCACCGTCGTGCTTCCGGATGATCTCCTTCTTCATCTCCAGCGTCACCTTCTCCTTCTTCCTCTCGCCGGCCTCCGCAGCAGCAGCAGTCTTCTTGGGTCCCATGGCAGCACAGCTCTTACCTTCGTAAACTCAGAAAAAGAAAAAAAAATCAGCGATTCAAACCCAGAACCAAGTCCTTGAATTCCAAACACCCAACGCAAAATCCAAAAACCCCCAAAAAAAGTTTTAAAAGTTTAACTTACAAAATGGCTGCAAATCACCAAAGTCTTCAAAATCCTTAAATGGCTTCAAAAGAAGTTTTGGGAAAGCTTTAAAAATCACCAAAGTCTTCAAAAACCTCAACTGTTCCCCCAGCCCCTCCCCAACTGTTGCAAACCCCTACCCAACTGTTGCAAACCCCTCCCCAACTGTTGCAAACCCCTCCCCAACTGTTCCCCCATCCACCCAGCACACAGAAATTCAAACCCAGAAATTCTTTCAAAAAAAACCAACATGGCCCAATGGTCACAGAAAACCAAAAAAATTCAAAAAAAACCCACACAAGCTCCCAGATTCTTGCAAACCCCTCCCCAACTGTTGCAAACCCCTCCCCATCCACCCAGCACACAGAAATTCAAAACCCAGAAAATTTTTTCAAAAAACAACAACATGGCCCAATGGTCACAGAAAACCATAAAAATTCAAAAAAAAAACCCACACAAGCTCCCAGATTCTTGCAAACCCCTCCCCAGCTGTTCCCCCAGCCACCCAGCACACAGAAATTCAAAACCCAGAAAATTTTTTCAAAAAAAACCAACATGGCCCAATGGTCACAGAAAATCATAAAAATGCAGAAAAACCCACACAAGCTCCCAGATTCTTGCAAACCCCTCCCCAGCTGTTCCCCCATCCACCCAGCACACAGAAATTCAAAACCCAGAATTTTTTTCAAAAAAAACCAACATGGCACAATGGTCACAGCAAACCATAAAAATTCAAAAAAAAAACAACCCACACAAGCTCCCAGATTCTTGCAAACCCCTCCCCAGCTGTTCCCCCAGCCACCCACCACACAAAAATTCAAAACCCAGAAATTTTTTTCAAAAAACAACAACATGGCCCAATGGTCACAGCAAACCATAAAAATTCAAAAAAAAACCACACAAGCTCCCAGATTCTTGCAAACCCCTCCCCAGCTGTTCCCCCAGCCACCCAGCACACAGAAATTCAAAACCCAGAAATTTTTTTCAAAAAAAAAACAACATGGCCCAATGGTCACAGAAAACCATAAAAATTAAAAAAAAAAAACCACACAAGCTCCCAGATTCTTGCAAACCCCTCCCCAGCTGTTCCCCCATCCACCCAGCACACAGAAATTCAAAACCCAGAAAATTTTTTCAAAAAAACCCAACATGGCCCAATGGTCACAGAAAATCATAAAAATGCAGAAAAAACCATACAACCTCCCAGATTCTTGCAAACCCCTCCTCAACTGTTCCCCCAGCCACCCACCACACAAAAATTCAAAACCCGGAAATTTTTTTCAAAAAAAACCAACATGGCCCAATGGTCACAGCAAACCATAAAAATTCAAAAAAAAACCACACAAGCTCCCAGATTCTTGCAAACCCCTCCCCAGCTGTTCCCCCAGCCACCCAGCACACAGAAATTCAAAACCCAGAAAATTTTTTCAAAAATCCCCAACATGGCCCAATGGTCACAGAAAACCATAAAATTCAAAAAAACCCACACAAGCTCCCAGATTCTTGCAAACCCCTCCCCAGCCACCCACCACACAAAAATTCAAAACCCGGAAAATTTTTTCAAAAAAAACCAACATGGCCCAATGGTCACAGAAAACCATAAAAATTCAAAAAAAACCACACAAGCTCCCAGATTCTTGCAAACCCCTCCCCAGCTGTTCCCCCATCCACCCAGCACACAGAAATTCAAAACCCAGAAATTTTTTCAAAAAAAACCAACATGGCCCAATGGTCACAGAAAATCATAAAAATGCAGAAAAAACCACACAAGCTCCCAGATTCTTGCAAACCCCTCCCCAGCTGTTCCCCCAGCCACCCAGCACACAGAAATTCAAAACCCAGAAATTTTTTTCAAAAAACAACAACATGGCCCAATGGTCACAGAAAACCAAAAAAATTCAAAAAAAACCCACACAAGCTCCCAGATTCTTGCAAACCCCTCCCCAACTGTTGCAAACCCCTCCCCATCCACCCAGCACACAGAAATTCAAAACCCAGAAAATTTTTTCCAAAAAAACCAACATGGCCCAATGGTCACAGAAAATCATAAAAATGCAGAAAAACCCACACAAGCTCCCAGATTCTTGCAAACCCCTCCCCAGCTGTTCCCCCATCCACCCAGCACACAGAAATTCAAAACCCAGAAATTTTTTCAAAAAAAACCAACATGGCACAATGGTCACAGCAAACCATAAAAATTCAAAAAAAAAAAAAAACCCACACAAGCTCCCAGATTCTTGCAAACCCCTCCCCAGCTGTTCCCCCAGCCACCCACCACACAAAAATTCAAAACCCAGAAATTTTTTTCAAAAAACAACAACATGGCCCATGGTCACAGCAAACCATACAAATTCAAAAAAACCCACACACGCTCCCTGATTCTTGCAAACCCCTCCCCAGCTGTTCCCCAGCCACCCAGCACACAGAAATTCAAAACCCAGAAAATTTTTTCAAAAAAAAACCAACATGGCCCAATGGTCACAGAAAATCATAAAAATGCAGAAAAAACCATACAACCTCCCAGATTCTTGCAAACCCCTCCTCAACTGTTCCCCCAGCCACCCACCACACAAAAATTCAAAACCCGGAAAATTTTTTCAAAAAAAACCAACATGGCCCAATGGTCACAGAAAATCATAAAATTGCAGAAAAAACCACACAAGCTCCCAGATTCTTGCAAACCCTCCCCAGCTGTTCCCCCAGCCACCCAGCACACAGAAATTCAAACCCAGAAATTTTTTTCAAAAAAACAACATAGCCCAATGGTCACAGAAAATCATAAAAATGCAGAAAAACCACACAAGCTCCCCGATTCTTGCAAATCCCTCCTCAACTGGTCCCCCATCCACCCCGCACACCCAAATTCAAAACCAGATTTTTTTTTCATAATTATATAAACATGGCCCAATGGTCACAGAAAACCATAAAAATGCAGAAAAAAACCACACAAGCTCCCAGATTCTTGCAAACCCCTCCCCAGCTGTTCCCCCATCCACCCAGCACACAGAAATTCAAAACCCAGAATTTTTTTCAAAAAAAACCAACATGGCCCAATGGTCACAGCAAACCATAAAAATTCAAAAAAAAACCACACAAGCTCCCAGATTCTTGCAAACCCCTCCCCAGCTGTTCCCCCAGCCACCCAGCACACAGAAATTCAAAACCCAGAAAATTTTTTCAAAAAAAACCAACATGGCCCAATGGTCACAGAAAACCATAAAAATTCAAAAAAAAACCCACACAAGCTCCCAGATTCTTGCAAACCCCTCCCCAGCTGTTCCCCCAGCCACCCACCACACAAAAATTCAAAACCCAGAAAATTTTTTCAAAAAAAACCAACATGGCCCAATGGTCACAGAAAACCATAAAAATTCAAAAAAAAAACCACACAAGCTACCAGATTCGTGCAAACCCCACCCCAGCTGTTCCCCATCCACCCAGCACACAGAAATTCAAAACCTAGAAATTTTTTCAAAAAACCAACATGGCCCAATGGTCACAGAAAATCATAAAATGCAGAAAAACCACACAAGCTCCCAGATTCTTGCAAACCCCTCCCCAGCTGTTCCCCAGCCACCCAGCATACAGAAATTCAAAACCCAGAATTTTTTTCAAAAACAACAACATGGCCCAATGGTCACAGAAAACCATAAAAATTCATAAAAACACCACACAAGCTCCCAGAGTCTTGCAAACCCCTCCCCACCTGTTCCCCCAGCCACCCAGCACACAGAAATTCAAAACCCAGAAACTTTTTTCCAAAAAAACCAACATGGCCCAATGGTCACAGAAAATCATAAAAATGCAGAAAAAACCATACAACCTCCCAGATTCTTGCAAACCCCTCCTCAACTGTTCCCCCAGCCACCCACCACACAAAAATTCAAAACCCGGAAAATTTTTTCAAAAAAAACCAACATGGCCCAATGGTCACAGAAAATCATAAAATTGCAGAAAAAACCACACAAGCTCCCAGATTCTTGCAAACCCCTCCCCAGCTGTTCCCCCAGCCACCCAGCACACAGAAATTCAAAACCCAGAATTTTTTTTTCAAAAAACCAACATGGCCCAATGGTCACAGAAAATCATAAAAATGCAGAAAAAACCACACAAGCTCCCAGATTCTTGCAAATCCCTCCTCAACTGTTCCCCCATCCACCCAGCACACAGAAATTCAAACCCAGATTTTTTTTTCAAAAAAAAATAAACATGGCCCAATGGTCACAGAAAACCATAAAAATGCAGAAAAAACCACACAAGCTCCCAGATTCTTGCAAACCCCTCCCCAGCTGTTCCCCCATCCACCCAGCACACAGAAATTCAAAACCCAGAATTTTTTCAAAAAAAAACCAACATCGCCCAATGGTCACAGCAAACCATAAAAATTCAAAAAAACCACACAAGCTCCCAGATTCTTGCAAACCCCTCCCCAGCTGTTCCCCAGCCACCCAGCACACAGAAATTCAAAACCCAGAAAATTTTTCCAAAAAAACTAACATGGCCCAATGGTCACAGAAAACCATAAAAATTCAAAAAAAACCCACACAAGCTCCCAGATTCTTGCAAACCCCTCCCCAGCTGTTCCCCCAGCCACCCACCACACAAAAATTCAAAACCCAGAAATTTTTTTCAAAAAAAACCAACATGGCCCAATGGTCACAGAAAACCATAAAAATTCAAAAAAAACCACACAAGCTCCCAGATTCTTGCAAACCCCTCCCCAGCTGTTCCCCCATCCACCCAGCACACAGAAATTCAAAACCCAGAAATTTTTTCAAAAAAAACCAACATGGCCCAATGGTCACAGAAAATCATAAAAATGCAGAAAAAAACACCACACAAGCTTCCAGATTCTTGCAAACCCCTCCCCAGCTGTTTCCCCAGCCACCCAGCACACAGAAATTCAAAACCCAGCCCAGAATTTTTTTTCAAAAACAACAACATGGCCCAATGGTCACAGAAAACCATAAAATTCAAAAAACCCCACACAAGCTCCCAGATTCTTGCAAACCCCTCCCCAGCTGTTCCCCCAGCCACCCAGCACACAGAAATTCAAAACCCAGAAAATTTTTCAAAAACCAACATGGCCCAATGGTCACAGAAAATCATAAAAATGCAGAAAAAACCACACAAGCTCCCAGATTCTTGCAAACCCCTCCTCAACTGTTCCCCCAGCCACCCACCAGACAAAAATTCAAAACCCGGAAAATTTTTTCAAAAAAAACCAACATGGCCCAATGGTCACAGAAAATCATAAAAATGCAGAAAAAACCACACAAGCTTCCAGATTCTTGCAAACCCTCTCCCAGCTGTTCCCCAGCCACCCAGCACACAGAAATTCAAACCCAGAAAATTTTTTCAAAAAAAACCAACATGGCCCAATGGTCACAGAAAATCATAAAAATGCAGAAAAAACCACACAAGCTCCCAGATTCCTGCAAACCCCTCCTCAACTGTTCCCCCATCCACCCAGCACACAGAAATTCAAACCAAGATTTTTTTTCAAAAAAAAATAAACATGGCCCAATGGTCACAGAAAATCATAAAAATGCAGGAAAAAACCACACAAGCTCCCAGATTCTTGCAAACCCCTCCCCAACACCAAGTCCTTGAATTCTAAACACCCCAACCCAAAATCCAAAACCCCCAAAAAGTTTTAAAAGTTAAACTTACCAAACAGCTGCAAAAGAAGTTTTGGAAAAGCTTCAAAATTCAGCAAACTCTTTAAAAGCTCAAAAGGCCACCACACCGCAGTGCAATGTGTTGCTCCTCGAAGTCAAGTCGCAACTGCACCTCTTCCAGCAATGCACCCTGGGTTTTAACGGTTTTACTGAAAAGGAAACAAACTTGCAAGACGTTCGTCTTGCGAAGCAAGCCCATAGGGAAATTCGTCTTGCGAAGCAACTCGAAAACGAAAAAACCTTTCGTCTTGCGAGTTTTTCGTCTTGCGAGGCGTTCGTCTTGCGGGGCACCACTGTATTGAACTGAAATATGGAAAACTCAATAAAAATTATGATAAAAAAGCAGTAATATTGTTGTAGGTTTGGGAAGAGGGTCAGTCTAGACAATGCCCATGGGGCCCCTTCCAACCCTGTGATTCTGTACCTATGAGGGTAGACAGTATAACAGGAAACCTGTTGAACCAGCCAGATCACTGCGTTCATTAAGGTACTGGCCTAGGCTGGCCAATTAAGTACTGCCAATGTCTACCTGTCCAAAGAGAAACAAATGGGTGGGCCTTTACCTACCTCACCTGGTTGGAACTACATCAGCCTAGGATGGAGAACAATAAGCTAAGGAGTGTGTGAGAGAATTTGGGGCTACTGCTGGAAACTGGAAATACAGAGGCTCCTCTTGCTCTGGGCTGGACCCAAAGCTGTGGCTTGGGGCTTCCATGGAAACCAAATGGGGAAGAAAGATCTGTTTGAGTGTTAATGATGTGAGCCCTTCCTTCTATGCTCAGGTTTTATATGTATGTAAATGAAACCACAAATACTAATGACCTCACGATCTCCATTCACTTTCATTCCAAGGAAATGGAACCATAGGTCATAGCACAGCACCCCTGGAGTCTCTTAGCACTCAAAAGGGGGTGGGAGGGCATGCAGCAATATTAATGCAATCCTGCAGCAAAGGCATATTAAAACATTGTCCTCTCATTCCACATCAAAATGTTGCTGGAAACAGTTTATTTCTAGGTCCATCAGAACGTAATATATTTTCTAGTTCAATTCGTGCAGCCAGTACTTTCGAAACAAAACAAACCCTGCAACACTACGAAAACCACCTCTAGTCCAAACTTGTTTACAGATCACAGTGTTGAGTCCTGGTTCAGACTGGTTGCAGCGTGGTTGCCAGGGAAGAGAGTGGATCAAAGGATTTACAGAGGCTGGCTATGGCTGATCTGAAAGATATTTTATATCACCTGTGCTCTCATTCTTCCAATAATAACAGTTGCTTACATCAGGTAAGCCTCTCTGTTTGTAGTGAAACATGCAATGCATGAACTGTTTAAATTTTTTAATTGTTGTAACCTGCCCTAGGACCTGATGCAGCAGCAAAGAAAGCTAATGCTATTCTAGGCTTCATCAATAGAAGTATAATGTCCCAATCAACGGAAGTCATATTGCTGCTCTCTTTTGCCTTGGTCTGGGCTCCCTCATTTAAGGAGGATATTGACAAGCTGGAATGTGTGCATAGGAGGGCAGTCAAGATTATCAAGGGTCTGGAAAGCAAGCCTTATGAGGAGTTGTTGTTGAGGGAGTTGGGTATGTTTAGTATGGATAAGAAGAAACTGAGAGGAGAATTGATAGCCATCTTCAAATATCTGGATTATCTCATAGAAGATGGAGCAAGCTTGTTTTCTCTGGCTCCAGAAGGAAGGACCTGAACAAATGGCTTCAAGTTACAAGAAGATTCTAAGCACCAGGAAGAACTTTCTGACGGTAAGAACTGTTTGACTCTGGGACAGACTCCCTTGGAAGGTGGTTGGGGTCTCCTTCATTGGAGGTTTATAAGCAGCGGTTGGATGGCCATCTGTTATGGATACTTTAGCTGACATTGCAGCACTGCAGGAGGTTGAACTACATGATCCTCGTCCCTTCCAACTCTACAATTCTACGATTCTAGTAGTAGTAGTAGTACTTCGCCTATCTGACTGGGTTGCCCCAGGATGGGTAATATTAATAATACTGCAGCCACAAGGCTGCATAAATACTTGCACATTCATATTTTGCTGCAGGCTGCACACAGCAACATGGGTTTTGTAGTCTTAATGCTTCAAAGGTATCTGGAAAATATGCTTAATTATTTTATACTGGAAAGGAAAATGTTAGAAAATCTAACAATATTTTTACTGCCTACACAACACATTATCTTGGATGCTTGTTTTGCACCCTGTTCCAAAATGTGCCAAGGGCAAACAGCCGCATTACATCACTTTAGTTCCACTGGTGCTGTCAGATGCTGAGAAGTTCATATATTGTGTATCTCGGCTAAGTTCTTGAGGATTTTATGATGCCCACACCCACAATTACTTAGCAGCTTCAGGCTATAAGCCCAAGGAAGCACATCCTGTCTACACCCACAATGAGATGAATGTAACATCTGGATGACATTACCAGGGTTTTCTATCATCTAAAATATCCGTGGGTCTTTGCCATGTTTTCCTCCCCCCTAGCATGATATATTCTTCAATAGTACACAACCTCAAACTTACTCTCCATGGTTTATCACCAGAATAACAATCATCCTCAGATTCCATGCTCACAATCATTAATGTGATGCAGCCATAAAAGGGGGGGGGGTTAGAATGGTAACTAGTCCCCCTTCCATTGCCTCTCCTCTCTTTTACCCTCCCCTCTTTTAGATCTGTTCAGCAATATGTGTAGTACATTGCAGGACAAGGAGTCTTTGAGAGCTTTCCCCCAGAACACACACACACAAATATATGTCATCTTGACTGTTTCATCCTCTCCCTAACCACCACCTGCTACCCATTTGTCCCAGCATCTCTTCACCCAACCACAGTCTTTGAAAATGCTTGTTATTTAGTCGTGTCCGACTCTTCGTGACTCCATGGACCAGTCTCTGAAAATGCTTGTTATTTAGTCGTGTCCGACTCTTCGTGACTCCATGGACCAGAGCACTTATTATTAAATGCTTATTAAATGCTTATGCAACCCAATTCCCCCATCCTGTATATTCAGATCCTTCCTTGTACCCTATCTGGAGTTTTTGACTCAAATAGCCAGCCGTTGGGTTCCTTCTTAAATGGTTCTTACCACTTGTGTAGTAAAGCTGAGGTCTTGCATACATGGCACAAGCCTCATGGATGACAGGATCAACAAAAATTCCACTTCTGTTGGTGATGACTTTGATGGTTTAATTTGGATGAGCAGAATATGCCCTTTTGCACAACTGCCGTGCACTGAGCCGACAGCCTCATCAGGCCGTCCATTATGACAGTTGCCACAGGAGGACAGAGTTGCTCTTGTACTCAGGCTCTGCTTGCCTGTTTCCCACATGCATCTTGTTGGCCACAGTGAGAACAGGATGCAGGACTAGATGTGCCATCGTTGGCCTGTTTCATCAGACTCTTTAGATGTTCTTAACATAGGGCTACCAGACATCCCCGGTTCCCAGGGACAGTCCCTGGATTCACCAATCTGTCCCCGGGCAAAATCTGTCCCCGGAATGTCCCCGATTTTTAATTAATGTCCCCAGATTTATGCCTGGGGACTTCTGGCAAGGCAACATGGTGGACGCCATGGCAGCGAGCAGCACTGGAGGTCCTGGACACGTCAAAGTTCCAGCCAGCCAATCTGCTGGTGGGGGGAGGGGGCTATTTAAACCAAGGCGCGAGCCAGAGAGCTTCT